ACCTCATGTGATTTGATGGTTGGTCCCTGAAAGTATATGTCACGTGTTATTTCACTGTAGTACTGCTAAGGAAACATGGGATTTGGCTGAGATTCCTCAACCACCGTCGGGTTTTTCTCCAAACTCAGTTTTCTTGAACATCCATTATCTGCTTACATGTTGCCAAGATCACACAGTACCTGATCGCAGCCGACTCTGGTTTCCTTGGTTACTTTGGCATTTGTGGAAGGCTAGGAATGCTCTGCTATTTGAGAACATGGAGCATCAAGGCAGTAGAAGACTCTTCTCTGTGGTTTGAGTATAAATTCACCAAAGCCTCGGAACACTCACCAAGTTCCACGGCTTCCTCATGAGGGCAAGGTTTCCTTGGGATGGAAGAAACCACCCAATGAGGTGGTTAAATGCAACGTTGGGGCCGCATGGAGGGAGCAAAACGGAGAAGGTGGCGCGTCCTGGATCACACAGGGAAGGCTTTATTGCATAGTCGCCGTTCTTATGCCGCCGGCTTGTCTTATAAGCTTGAGACAGAATTAACGTGTCTCTCATGGGCAGTGGAATCTCTAACCACACTCCGTTATAGACGGGTGGTTTTTGAAGCTAATTTTCTCCTTGCTCTGCTTCAGCCCCCATCGTATGGTATTGGATCGGATTGAATATATGGGCTTCTCCGTCCTCTGGAATTTTGGAGGCTCGAGCATATCTCGGATTGCTGCAACCAAGTGGCGGGTGCCATAGCACAGAGTGTGGTTAACGAGAATCATACATTGCAAGAGATGGTCCGTGTTGGACCCGCCACTTGATCGAATCCGAAGCAGCTACTGCATAGTATCAAGTTACGGTGGGAGCGGATGAGGATATCCTCATCTCTCTACTTTCAATAAATTTTTACTCTTTCTTTGTTTCTTGGTTGGTGCCTAATGGCATCTCTGTATTTCCATGTACTCTGTTACTCCCTTAGGGGTTGATGATTTCAGAAGTGTTAACAAAAAAAAGAAAAAAGTAGACCCTTTAACAAAGATGATATTTTTGAGTTTTTTGTGTTGATGCAAATAAAGATCATAGAGAGTTGCTTGAAAAGATGGAGGATCAAAGATATCATTTGGAAACTGAAGACAAAGATATCATTCGTGTTTGTGCATTACAACAGTTTATTCTTTGCCTAAAACTCTCTTAAACCTTCTCTCGGATTTGCATTGGGTACTTGTAGACATCATCAAAAGTCCTCTTTGCAAGCTGATAAATTATACCAAACATCAGTTACTCGTCTGATCAAAATACATCTCTTAATAGGTT